GCTTGACAACTCACCTGGATCCATCTGTACATTTCTGACATATTAAGTAGGATTACAAAGCTACCCTTGACTGCATATATCATCACTCCCTTGCCATTCAAAAAGGGACACATAAGATAACCTAAATTTTCTTCTCACGCATTAGATCCCTATTCTTCCTCCCTCAAAAAAAAGTTACTCCACCTACAATCCATCATCCTACATGTTAAAAAGCTACCCAGAAATCATCGCTTCTCTATATCTCCAATCTTGCAGAATGACTCCAAGCTTCGCATGATAATCTGCAATATCATAGAGTATTCCCAGATTTACAAGATATTATGGCTGGGAAACAATAGCTTACAGTTCCGTCACCCATGTAATTCTTTTTGAGCATCAGATGATCAAGCCACATGGTTAGCATCAAAGAACAGGATTGAGAGTTCCACCTATAAGCATCCCGAAGTGAACACCTTTCCTTCTCCTATCACTATTTTCGAGTTTATCCTCCTCATTTTCTTTGTTCTTGAAGAAATTTCAGAAGGAAGGTCATTATGCCCTTCATGTTCAACATGAGAGTTGTGCGTTATAGGGTGACAATGTTCATTAAAGATGACAAGGCTTTTATTTGGTGTCATTACTACTATGTCATGGTGTTCTATGTGTAAAGGCAACTTCAAAATTGTAATCTTTGAACCCCATATGTTTATCATCTTCGTCACCCTTCCAGCCAAATATGCATACTCTTATTGATGGTTTTGGTAGTTGTGTAATCATTCCAAGTCTGCAAGAAGTTTGCTGTCGTTGTTTGGCTCCAGTAGCTTGGCCAGGGGATTTATGTTCTGCAACTTTGCTGGGGAACCGGCTATGTGATATCATTGTTGGATAGAACAGGATGTCCCATAGCACGTAGCCATGTGCACGTGAGACAGGTGCCGCCGAAAAAACCCCTACTCATCTCCTCGAGTCTCATCCTAATTAACCTCCACATCATCATTGCTGTTGATTCATCAACCTACATCACCAACACACCCCAACAAAAAAATGGCAACTGCATTAGGGAGGTCGTCCTAAAGCTTCATCTTGTTCCACTCTCCTTCGGTGGTATAATATTTCCAGCATCCTTACTCACCAGCATCTGTTCGTCTTTAGTAGAGCTTTCCTGGCCATACCTATCACAAGGGCCACTTCATCCCGTATTGTGGATGGGAATCAAGAGCAGGGTCAA